CCTCTGCAAGCCCACAAAAAGATTTGACACAAGCAAACTGCGAAGCTAGGCAGGCAGTTTGACGTTGCGATGCATCTGCGAGCATGGCCTTCGGGTGTCTTTGGCCACATGCCACGTGGCCGGTAAGCAATGCCCAAACATGCAGGGACTATTGGAATCGGTGCGTGACAAGCACTATGGGAATGATGCTCTCTCGTGGGATGGCGTTGCTGGCTTTTTCGATGATTTTTGCCTTTGCTCAGCTGCCAATATCCGCATGTGAGCCTAGATGGGCTGGGGATTTCATTCCTGCAGTGCCAAAAAGGTTGCCCCGGCGAGCACATGCTCGAACAGCGACTTAGCACCCAACAACCCCTGCGGCTTGTTGGTTCTTCTCCACCCGAAGTGGGGTCCATGATTCCCACTCCTCTAGGGGTAGCTTCCCCATTCTGTCCAGGAATCTTTCTTTCCAGAAAACCACCAAAAACCCGGAAACAGCTGGTTATCGAAAAGAACGATGGTTGAAAAGAATGGGGAATCAACCCCTAGAACCCCACAGAAAAACGGCTTCACCCTCCAGCCTCCCGGTGACAAGGTCGTGGGCAAGGCCGTCCCTCATCCAAGGCTTGGCCTCACTTGCGGCCAAGCGGTTCTCCTTTCAACCCTCTCACTTGCCCAAAAGCTTGGTTGACGTTGGGCGGGGAGCAAAAATTAGAATGTAGCAGTTAAGTTATAAGCAAACAACAACCATGATAAGAGCCACCTCACCTAGCCTAAACAAAACGGACATATGTTTTTCAAAACCTTGACTAGATATGGGCGAAAGCAAGGACACCAAAAGGCTAAAAGTCGGCGTTGGGCAAGTGAGCCCCTTGAAAAGCTTACGCGGAGTTCGTCTCTTCACGGCTTTTCGCCAACCGATGCGCGCCTGACCTCCACATCGTCGTGTCCATCCGTTCCAAGACCAACAAAGCCACTTCTCCCGCAAAAGCCCCCAGACATTCCCCAAGGTTGCAAGCCATGGCATGCGCAATGAGGGCACGCTGTGAGTCTGTGCGCTCAAAACGCAGTACTCAACGCTCAAAGGCACTGAATTATCTGAGCCCACTTGATGGGGAGAAAAGAAATGTGAGCCGTTACCATGCGATTCTGATTCATATCGTTTTCCTTCAACGCTTTACGTTTACCTGGCTTGTTTTGAACGCACTGCACGCTCCAGCCGGCCGAGCTGTGTGCTGCGCGGCTGCCAAAGGGCGACTGGATTCTTGAAATCAACTGTTTGGCAGTTCGTTGGCTCAGTCTTTGGTGGCCTGGCTGTTGGCCACAGTGTATGCCAGCCTGACGGCAAAACTAGGTTCTCCAGTAGAGAGGTTGGAATAAGGGTACCAACTTTTTTCTATAGTCTATTTTAGCAGGGGAACCCTCCCCCAAAAGAGGGTAAAAGGGCAGCACTGGGGGACCCAGAAAACAATGCCGCAAATGGAACTCCATCTCGAGTGCGCCACAAGTTCTCACTGTTCCGGTGCTTGGCGTCGGTGCGTTTTCTTCGGGCTGGGTGTGGGAAGTAGTCCTAGCAACAAGTGTCATGGACGTCCCTTGGAACAAGCACGTGCTTTCACCATGCGGTCTGCCATGGGTTTTGCTCCGCTCTGGGGCACTGGCCATCCCAACGTTGCCAGCAAGTCTTTCTTCATTTTTGTTCCTCCCCCTGATGCTAAACGCCCCCCCCCCCCCCCGGGATTTGGGATGTTCAAAAGTCGGTTTTAGTATCTGGGGACTGTTTGGCATTGAGAAGGGAACAAAACGGCTCTGTGCAGCTCAGCGCACCATTTCCCATATGTTTTTTGCCTAAGTCACTCCATCCAGATCAGTCCCGATCACCCCCCCCGATCTGCGGCGAAGGGGCAACGCCCGAAAGATGGGCAGCTGCCCAGTTTGATGAGCTGCGTCTCGAAGGTGGCAATCATCGACTCGGCAAAGCATCGACTCGTGTCATACCATCGACTCGAGATGTCAGTCCCCGAGCCTCTGAGCCGATTTTTCCCCTCGAGCTCGCACTCCACCGGAAAACCAAGTGACTTGAAAACTCAGACTTTCAAGGTTTTCGAGGTCCAAAACTTAGACTTTCGAAAAACCGAACCCATCTGAGCCACTGAAACCATCGGAGTTGGATCACCGAAGCTCCAAACCATCGGAGCCCTCCGTTTTCAGTCAGAGCTCCAAGAGGGATCTGGATGCATTGTACACCTGAACATTGCAACTGGTAAATGGTGGTGTCCCTTTATTTTGGTACGGAAAAAGCAACATGAAGGAGCCAAGTCCAAGTTGAGATGTCCGAAGCCAAGGCATCCAGCCGCTTTTTTTGCTTGTGCCCATCCTCGGATCGTCTGTTTGGCCCTGCTTTGCAGCAACCCGCCGGCGAGGAATCCAAGAAGGTTTCAGGGAGGCACTGGCAATGTAGCCGCTTGACATTTGATGGTGCCAAAAAACAAAGTTCTGCTTTCCACTGAAGTCGTGCCTTGTTGGCCGTGGGGCTGGGGCAATGTATTGTGAACCTCTGCATTGGTTCCAAGAAGCTTCGCCAATTGCAAGATGCTCTGAGAGAAAAGAAGCTAACTTCAGCGTAACATCACGCCATGTCGCCAAGGACCTCATGGATGTGGCTTGATTCTGGCCTGCTTCGAATCGCACAAGTCAGCTGTCCCTCAAAAGGCAACACCCAGGCGACATACCTAATCTAACTCGCAATTCTGAGTGGCGACAGCCAAGGATTTGCTTAGTGACTAGCGGCTAGCGACTGAATCCCTGAGTTTTTGCCTGCCAAAATTGGGCCTCGAGCCATCGGCAAGCGGAACTTTGGGCAGAACATCCACCCGCCGACGATCTCCGAAAGGTCATCCGCAGTCGCCGGCCGACCGCCCAACAAGAAACAATCCAAATAGGCTTCCAAAGGTACCAAGATCAGAGTTAGGCCTATATAGGTGATATTCTATTGTTTGCTTCACTTCGAGTCACCGGAAAAATGTAAAATGTATCCTAAGTCTACCCCAGGTGCTTGAGGCCTGCTAGGATCGAAACAAACACATGCTGGACTCTGTTGGCGGTGGGTCCATTCTGGAAGCCCTTGACAACCAAAGTGCCATAGGACTTCTCAGATCTTCTCGAGACACAGTTGAAATATCTGTGCCGCCTTGGAACCGTGGGAGTCGCCATCTATGGTTCGGCAAGAGGTTGTCCGGTGTCCACATGCCAGAAAGAGAACAAAGAGAACATGCACCAAAGCAAAACAAGGCTCACATGCGCACGGACAACAAGTGGGACACCCTCAAAATCCCAAAAGGTTTTCAACTATGGGCTTGCGTCAACCAGACCTTGGGGACATGGGTGACCCCCCAATGGCACCAAGAGGGCTTCAAAAACACTCGGGTGCGCAACAGCTCCATGCCTCGGCTATCCGACCGGCATGGGGGCTTGCCCGTGGCTTGCTCAATTGGACGTCACACGCAAGGCTTTGGTCTTGCATAGGATCAAGGGAAGGGGGGTTCCCCAAAAAGTGATCTGGACCCCCTCTTACATGGACCACCCCGAAAGCAACCCAGGGTTTATCAATCCTGACCCAATGTCCTTTCCAATCATGGAAGTGCAGAGGGCTTCACAAAACGGAAGTCGTCTTCCCCAACCATCAGATCATCATGTCAGCTTTTGGTAAAGCATGAGTCCATGGACCGCGGATGCCAGCGCCTTCTTGATGCGGACAAGTTCAACAGCAGCAATCTGATAAGCAACAGACACCCGGCGAACCTCTGCCCTGGCAGATTCTTCTGTTTTGCCCAGTTCAGTCACCTACCGTAAAATGCAAAATGAAGAATACCCCTGCCCCCAAAAGCAAAATCCCCGAATTCAAAACTGCTCGGTGCAGCTTCTTTGTCCGCTTTCAAGAACGTCAGAATTGGTGGGTCAGCCCTATTCCTGGTTCACTTAGCGTAAGGACCTCACAACTCAAGGCATTGTACCCCATCTCTGAAACCTGCGATGAGGAAAAAAGAACTTCTACTTCCACACACTACCAACTGAGGCTCACCTAGCGCAAGCGCTTGCCACTTTGGAAGCCCTTCGGCCGCCACAGTTTTCTCGTGGGAAATTGGCTGAGCACTCCGGCCAGGACTCATGCAGATCCGTCTGACCTCCCCTGACCGGCCTTGGGTCTTGCAAGTTACAGTCACGTACCTTGGTTGCCGTTGGAAGGGGAGCAAAAACTGAAAAAAAAAAAAGCAGTGAAGTGGGGATTTCCCACTAAACCACAAGAAGCAAAAATGCAGAATGGTTCCCAACAACAACCATGTTACGTCATGACATTCAGTACTTCCGCCAATCCACGCAGTAGCCTTGCAAGTTGCTGGTTGCTGTGGGCAGCTCGGTGAGCTAGATTCTGGCATTGGCTGGCGGACTCACATGACAAGCTGTTGTTGTATGCGTTTGTAGTGATGCTTCGTGCTCTGTCTGCATCAGTTGTCCCAGATGTCCCCAGCCTTCCGCCACACGCCGGTGTGATGTTCCACGACTTGTTGCAGAAACGGTCAAGAAGATCCCGTTTTCGGAGGTTGCTTCAACTTGTCCGTTCTGAGGTTCACATGTTGTGCAAATCTTCATCGGATAGCCGTCCTCCGTGAAAGCTAACTTGGCCGATGGGCTAGGGGTTCCCAAATTCAGCCGTGAAAGCCGCAAAGCTCCCCACATCTCCCCGAAAGATCCCGAGACGGCTTTTGCTCAAGGCCAAAAGCGTTGCCGATAGAGCGGTCTGTGAGGAGACCCGGCCGGGCTTCCGCTTTCTTTTCGCGGGCGCCCGTGCTCCAAATCCTTTCGAGTGAAACATCGCATGAGGCTGGCTCCCAGCCTCATGGTGCAAAGGGTCGCTCCATTTTGACGGCCCCAACCCGAGTAACAAGCTCATGTGTTTCCCATAGGGCTCGCTCCAAAAACTGGGCCGGTCCCAAACGCCATTGAACTCACCCGTTCACGTTCCCAAATACAAGAAGAGGTGGCAGCTTATTTTCTCTGCGACCTGCACGCATTCCTTCAAGGCTGACGTATGCACTGTGCCCACATAGGCAAGCAATGATCTTGGCTGAGCCTCCTGGTGATCATCCAGTGGCTACAGTCCAAACTGGGGAATTTCGGAATGTCCGAATGCAGGTGACACGAGTTCGGTGTCCCGTGCACCTTCTTTTGCCCACGTCCCATCAGACAGCGATCACGAGTCGCGTACAACGCTGGCAGGTCAACTGCCCCGAAAAAGGCCTCAGCGATGTGTTCTCCACTTGTGTGGCAAGAGGTGCCCATTTTTTGCCAGAGAAACTTGCTCAGAGAACTTGTTCGGAGAAACTTGCTCAGAGAACTTGCGCACAGACACTTGCGCAAAGACATTGCACGGAAGGACAGCTTGTTCCGTGCAAAAAAAAGCGGCAATTCTTGCCGACAACAGAATAAATGGCATTATAATGGTGTTTGTTCAAGGAGTACCTAATTTCCCGTATGGCTCTAGCATGTCTACATGTTGATACATGCTTGCTTGGAATGCTTTTCTTGGAGTTGTGCAATGGAATTGCTCTCTGTCCAAAACTAGATGAAATGGACATGATAGACTGCAAGCCTGCGTGTCTCTGCTTAAGTCTGCTGCACAAGCAGTTTAACTACAGCCTGCCTGCTCAAAGAAAGCAGGACGCTGCACCTACTGAAGAATCATCAAAACTATACAACCTGCACGCTCAAATCCAGCAAAACGGAGGCACCACCGGGGGGGGGGGGGGGCGTAGCATATGTATAATGTATAAATAGGTATACATAATACATACATA